GTACCTTTAATACTGTATAGAAAGTACACTATTAAAAACAAATTGAAGTAAAACACCAAGTGATTTTCAAGCTTACAATGCGATGCGGCCAGCGCTGCATGTTGTGCGATTCAGGTACTCAAATCGCTTCCATCCAAGGGTAGAAAACATTCACCGTCGAAAGAGACTTCCCAACTGTGCAAATCAACACTTCTCATATTTACAGCACAATTCCGAGTTCCAAGCGCGGTATAAGACAAGACAAAATAACGCTGAAAAGCATCAACACTCGCTCTGACAGTGACCGCCATCATTCAAATGCAAACTCACGACTACGCGCGGGCTGCCTTATGGGATACGGCAATAAAATTTTCTCTCCAGTCTCGCGCAATGACGTCACCAGATCACCTGGTACGCATTTATGGAGAACTTGTTAGCAAAGAATTTTCCAGGTCTTTATACAACTTATGGCTATTACATTGTACATGCTAGCAGAAATTGTACGAAGTTTGTTTACTGGTCTTGGCGATCCGAGTGAATAGTGCAGCTGAACATCTTTGCCGTCTTGCGATCTTAAAACCTTTTCAAAGTCAGATCTCCTTTGGGGTACGAAAACAACAGCCCTATGACAAGGCGCAAATTGCATGGCACATAATTTGCATAAAATTTCAAGTTGTGTTTTCCGAAGATCATGACTTCCGAGAATTTGCGACCCTTAACGCAGTGTATGAAGAATATTTAACCTACACATTTTTATTGAATCAAGGCAGAAGTATTTTCTTACAACTCTGGTTCAAATATTAGATTGATTTTCTCAAGAACGCACGCATTACGTGCATATTAAAGTTCGACCAGCTGGGCTTGTGATTTATTTCGCCTTGGGGGGCATCTACAGTGATTCTAACTCTATGGCTGTGAAGGGAATCAGAGCACAAATTATAGATAGTAATATGTCAAAAATTAACTGACAGCTATTGAGCAATGTAAGGCAGTTCTAGCCTGTAGGCATGAGAATCAAACCCTGTGGAATTCAAGTGAAAGCTACTGAGCAGTACTTTCATGTGATACTGTTTATCATGCTGTGCAAAATTGTTCAAAATGTTGAGTCCGTGAATGAAAACGTAGTGTTTGACTTTCAAATAGAAGCTTCTGAACTTAAATGGTGATTTTTATCTGGTCATACAAGGTGATACAACCTTTTGAAGCCTAGGAATAACTTTTTAACATGTGAACAGTCAAATGAGTGGTATCAGTTTTCATGAGGCACTGTTTATCATTTTATAAAAGGTGGTGCTATCCTTGAAGACTGTGAATAATACTCTAGTCTGTGACTATCCAAATGAAAGCTCTTGAGCAGTACCTTCATGCACAAATTTTAACTTTTTTGTAAGTCTTTTGTTTTAATGGTATTCATTACAAATGACAACTACGACTGAGTGTTACCTGGTACAAATTATTTATATGATTCACAAGGTCCTGTTTATTATGTTTTACAAGGTAGTTTTAACTGGAGGATCTGCTAATCCCAAACTAGTGCGCATGTAATCATTCAAATACAATACCGGTCAAGCCGAGCAATTTACTGTGATATATTTCATTTTCATTATTTTATTATTATTTTTTTTTCAAAAAGATATGAAGGTGCTTTATTTTTTAACTTTTGAACCAGAAATTCTTGAGAGAGAAAGGCTAAAGGCACCTCATTAGATTGCCACCAACTGGGAATCTAACTCAGTTCAAAAACAAGTAAAGAAGACATCAAAAAAAACTCAAAGTTCATCAAGCAATCAAGAGGTGGAAAACTTTGCGCCTCACCCCAATTTCCTCACAACTATTTTCTCCCTTCTCCCAACGATCTGTATGGGGCATTAGGTACACTCGCTTTCAATCTCGAACAGTTTCTAACTCTCGTTTAATTTTAATATCGATCTTCCTCCTCCACGGCTTGATGTAGGCGCCATCTTAACAGAGCATTCAAACCTGATTCATTTTCACCTTATAGGAGGAGAGCAGATAGCAAACTCTGTGACGCAAATTTGGTATTCACTGCGACTTAGTGAAGAAGACTTCAGGCTTGTGATGCATACCATTCAAGAACTGATCCATGCATCCAGCCTTGAGGAATTGACAAGAGGCACCATGAAGATAGAGCAAGACCATTTCTACAAACTAGTGCAAGTGTGGCGTACCTGGCTTCACCTTAGTTCTCAAGAGGGAGACTGGATTACAGAGGAGCGACGAAGGATGTTTGAGAAGGATCGCGGTTCAAAGGATGGAATAGATTTGTACTTGAAGGAAATTCCAAAGGAACATAAAACATCTGCTTCTGACTGGTTTGCAAATGGCATTCTGTTACCCAAGGGATCACGAAAAGAGCTCACTCGTGAGAATGTTACTCTAACGGGCATTCCTGCCGGTTTTCTAAATCAAAGTGATGGTCCTTACCCATTCAGGTACATACTGGTTCCTTCTGTAATTCCATTTATATCGTGGGATTACAAAGACGTTAAACAACATTTTCACTGCGCCTCTCTTCTCAAGATGTACAGTCAGTATGTGGGACACTTGTTCGAGAGGTGCGTTACGACATTGGCCTCGGGAAAGGTAAAGTTTCATTTTCTGTTGAGTAACTGTATGGAGATGACTCCATTCCTTCCTGCAGACCGGAAGTATGACCGCGTCACCACCTCAAACATAGGTGATTATGTGCCACTTACCAGCATCTTGGACGTGTGCAAACCACTGTTAAACAAAGCAAACCCTTCTGGCGTTATCATTACAGAATTTCAAAACTGGTCTCAGCATCATACGCTGTTTCAAAAAGAATTACTTCATTACTTACAAATGACAAAGAGCTTTCGCCAACAAGTCCTACAAGACACCAAAAATCCAGCAATTGCCAACTCCGACGGAAGGGTGGCCTTTGTGGAGTATCTCGACCACAGCGAAGAGTTCATCCAGTTTCTTCGCGCTGCCCTCCATGTTACAGATCGCGAGACCTCGGATAAAGTGAATCGACGGCGCACATGGAGGTCAGTGGCTGACTATAATGGTTTGGTTGCACGTGACTTCCTTCGCTGCCAAAATCGAGTATTTCCGGCCAAGTGGATGCAGAACTGCCGCAGGGTCACCATGATGACTGGGTATGAGAGAGCCGTGGAATGGATTGTCAATCCGCAATAATGTTCTTAATCTTTCAAAGGAATACTGAAGGAAAACCTTAATCTATTCCTTTTGCAGGATTCCACGTTTCTGCAGTCTACCTTACAACCGTTTGATATTTTGTACATCTGATTATTTCCAGTTTAAATTATTTCTCGTTAATGACTTTTTTAGATGAATAGCTTTGCGAAAGTGCAGGATGTAAATGAATCTCTGAACGAGCCTTCGTAATTAGTTTTGATTTCTTTTTAGCTCCTTGAGAAGAGCTGCAAATTATCATGAAATTGATATTTTTAAATGGCCTCCGTTAACCACACTTAAAATCGCAGGGGGCTGGGATGGAGGATAAGTACCCCTACTGACTTTAACCGTTGATAACTTTGTCAATATTTTAGTCTAATTAAAGTAGCCAAACTTTGCGAATTTATCTGAAATTTATGTAATAAAAATTTGGTAGGACATTTGATTTTTCTGAATCCAAGTTGTTGTTTCCATATTTTGACAGGCATATATGTTTTTGACCGGCATGTTTTTTAAATGCGGATTTTTCGTGCTTTTACATTTTAGCGTTGTATTTTTTTTCCTTGATTGATTACTTTTGAGTCGTTTTGGTGGCTCGGCTGACGTTTTGGGAATGCAACATCATAACATGTAAAAAGGTAACAATGTGTCCAACTTAACAATATTAAAAGTATCAGTATCTTAAATCATTAGAGTTTTGTTTGTAACCAGATAAACAAATAGCTATATATTCTACAGGGCTCCTTTCCCTTTGTTCTGAGGGGAGTTTGGGACAATCAAGCTGACTAACCCCTTCAATTGTGAAGTGTCTGTAAAGCTCGGAGCGGCTTTGATTGTTGCAGGGGAGAGCATGCAAGCGCGCGCGTGAAGACTGGGGAGGGGAAAATAACAAGCGTTCACTGAATCACTGCACAACGTGCCTTCTTTACTATGCTATCCTCGAGAACCTTAAGGAGAGGAGAAAGCCAGTTTCACCGCAGTTTCAGATCTGCAAAAATCAGTTATTGATTGTTCAAGACTATATGATGATCATCGCAGTTAATTTTCCAATTTAAGCAATTGGAAAGAAGAAGCCTGAAAAAATCAGGGCTTCAACGGGATTCGAACCCGTGACCTCCGCGATA